TATATATATATATATATATATCCCATTTTAAAATAAACGATTTAAATTTAATTTACTAAAACAAGATAATTGATATTCCATAAATTTTCCAAAACTTTTGGCAATACCACAATTTTAGCTACAGATTATCTCATCCATAAATATATTAAAAATCTTAAACTCTCAATCCGAATCTATCCATATTTTAATGTTAGGAAAACCTTAAGTATCAATAAGACATGGCCTCGAATTTACTAAAATTTAAATAATGATAGATTCAATATAAAACACACACTTATCTATATCTATGTATCAATCTATTTATCTATCTATAATATATTAAAAATATGGGTACTTTTAGCGAAATGTTGTTGATCATTTTTACCTATTAACAATTAGAGTCCACATGGATAAAATAGTTATTTTATTATTTATTAATATTTAGGAATAGTCATTAAATATATTTATAATATTTAAAAATTCAAAATCATCTAATTTTTTAATCAAATTATTCCTTATTTAAACTAGGTAAAAAATCTTAATATTTAGAACACAATTAAATTTTTACCATATATAAGTTTTATTTTTTTAAATAACTCCCAATCATATTTTTAATACAAAAGCTTTCTAACACCGAACCACAAGAAATTTCTTTCTCTTAACACCCTTTCAACATTAATATTCGTCAATTATTAATAGAAACATCATGTTATGTGAAATATACGGTTGTAACGACTCGATAGGTCATTTTGAGATTTAGCCTTTATTTATGTGTTCTGAGACCTCGATTAGCTATGTTTAGCATTTTTCGATTTGCGTACACAGTCAGAGTCTTTTTTCGGAATTTTTTATGTGAAAAAATTATTAAGAAAACGTGAATTTGTGGCTTTAAAATGACTTGAGTTGACTACGGTCAACATTTTGTGTAAACGGAACCAGATCAGTATTTTGGTAGTCTCAATGGGTTCATATCGTAATTTGGGATTTGGCGTATGCCCGAAATTGAATTCGAAAGTCGCTAACTTGTTTTGACTCATTTTGCCGAAAACAAGCATTTTTTTTAAACTTAAAGAATTACTAAGTTTGACGTAAGTTGACTTCTTAACTAACGGATTCGAATTTTGATGTTAAAACTTGGAATAGTTCGGTATTACTATTTGAAACATGTTTGCAAAATTTGGTTCAATTTGGAATTGATTTGACATAATTCAGACACTTAAACGTGATTTTAGTGTTCTTGAGTTTCACTTTGAAAATTCATTCGTAGATTTAGATGTTATTTTGGTGATTTGATTGCGCGAGCAAGTTTGCCTGATGTTATTACACTTGTGTGCGTATTTGGGTTGGAGCCCGAGGGGCTCAAGTAAGATTCGAACATGTTTCAATGAGTTTTGCAAAGGAAAGGTCTGCTGGTGCAATACCATTGTTGGTGTTATGTTGCAAATCTCGCATTTGCGAGGTCTGGCTCACAAATGCGAGCCTCGCTTTTATGAACAATGATTCGCATTTGCAAGCATCGGCTAGGTTGGGTGAGCTTCGCATTTGAGAGAATTTCTCTCATTTGCATACGCTGGACCTTCGCAATTGCGATCACTGGCTACTGGGTGCTGCTTTGTTTTTGCGAAGAGTTTGGTCACATTTGCGAGGGCTGTAGGTTCGCATTTGCGACCAAAATGACACAATTGCGATGACTGTTCTTCTGAGACAGGGTTCACATTTGCGACCCCTTTCTCTCATTTGCATGTTCCCAATTGCAAACAAGAAATCGAAATTGCGATATCTGCAGCTAGGTAAAATAGGGGAAAAACGGGACTTAGCTCATTTCTCACAATTTCTCAACCCTAAACACCCTAGAGGTGATTTTTCATGAGACCTTTCTTCCTAAATTCATTGGTAAGTGACTTTAATCCATTTCTTTTCAATTACCCATTATATTTAATGATATTTCAACATCAAATTTAAGATTTCTATGGTAGAAATTAGGGATTGGGAATAATTGAGAATTTTTGTAAATTTGAGATTTAGGCCGCGAATTAAGGTCAGATTTTGAAACAAATCACATAACCGGGATCGGGGGTGAATGGATAATAGGAGTTTTATCCGAATCTCAATTTTGACCAAGCGGGTCGGGGTGACTTTTGTTGACTTTTTCAAAAATGATTGAAATTGAACCTCTTTCATTTATAGGTAGTTTTTAAAGCTTATTTTGAATCATTTGGTCAATAATTTGGTTAGTTTGAAGGCTTGTTCAAATGGCAAGGCCGTGGTTGATTGATTGCTTGAGTTGTGAAGTGAGGTAATTATTATGTCTAACCATGATTTGAGGGAATTAGGGACTCTTGGACTACATGTTGCATGAATTATGTGTGAAACGACGTATATGCAATGTGACATGTATATATGCGCTTTTACATTACTTCCTTCCCTATATTTGTTGTTTCATAGTATATCTTGTTTCGTGCCTTAATTGCTACATGCTTAATTGATTTTCATGCAATATTTGCTACTTGCCATTTAGTATTCCTTGTATTAAATTATTTATTCTTTCCATAATTCTATGCTTATTTACTACTTGTCTCTATTTATTTTCCTTACATATCTACATTGTTTAATGCCTTGTTTGTCTTATAATTTCGTATCATTTGTTGCCTTCAATAATGTAGTTTCATTCGTATGAATTTTTAATTGGTAGATACCGTTAGGTTGGTAAAGTTGAGACATCCGAGTTTTTCGAGACTCTTTGATTTTCATGTTATTCTCCATTGCTCATATATTTGTTCTCTTGATGAAGAACCTCTTGTAAATCTTGGTTCTTGAATTGCTATTGTTGATTGAAATTGTTTGGGAGTGGGTTGCATGCCGCAACGGAAATTAAAAGGTATTGAATTGAAATGGCGGAATAAGGACATATTATGATATTGATAGATGATGATATGGTGGAATCGGGTTACACGCCGCAACGGATTGTTTAAAGTTGATATTGTGGGATTAGAATGTATGCCGCAACATATTGATTTAAATTATATTTGTTTGTGATTGTTGGATTGGCCTCGGTAATCAAGAAGAGCTTATATGGCTGGTTATTCTGGATCCACTATTAGTTGGATTGAGCTCGTTGTTATGAATTAACTGATTTACTTCCATTCCTGCCTTTTCTGCTATTATTATTATTATTATTATTATTATTATTATTATTATTATTATTATTATTAT